TATATATATATATATATATATATATATATATATATATATATATATACAGTACCAGTGTGATTTATTTGCGTTTTCAGACACATTCATCTGTCTATGCACATATTTTAATTATATATTTTTATCGTTTAAGATTAACAATTTCTATTATTTTTGACGTCTACGTTACACGTTTAAATTTGAATGAATATATCTTTTAATATCTTATGCAATCATGTTTTGTAATTGCATATGTATGTAATTATGTATTATTTCAAGTATATATTACATATACTAAAAAAAAATAAAAAATGACTAATAGATCACAAATTCAATCAATAGATCATAAATTTAATAAATTTAATTGTAATTTGTAATTATAACTTTTTATTTTATATAGAATGTGATAAAGTTCCGAAATGATTAAGTATCCGTAAGATAATGATGACATGATAATGATATGATACTAGTGTTAATTTGTAAAACAAATTCTAAATATTTTTGTAAGAAAGCACAATCACTAATATTAATTAATACGTGATAAAATTGCCTTATATCTTTGAATGCAAAATATTCATGCATCTATTTTTTGAATCTAAGCAAAAATGTCAGCAAATTATTAAACTGCTAACACGTATTAAATGTGCACGTATTAAATATGAAAACGTGATTGATATTTTGCGTGATCGATATCAATTTTTTTTAAAATAAAGTCTAATATTAAATAAAAAATATATTATGCTAGCTATTATGCAAATCAAAAAGTAACATACTTCTTTATATGCGCGTGAGCGGATTTGAACTAAAATAAACCGATATGATAAATTCGACATATTGAACTTTCAATGAATAATGTTAAAATGTTCAAATATTTGCCACATTTAGCCACATATAAAGAAGACATTTCTCGTTTTAATGAAAAGAATTGTTGAAAAATATACAGATCGAAGTATGATTACAATCAGATCCCATTCGCAGTGCTTTATTCGGCAGTGCATCGAAGAACAAGCAATACCTGATCGGGTTTAATTCGCTCTGTGATCAGCATCTTTGTGTCGATTAAGTCAGATCGTGCGGGTCGAGAAACGTGCGTGTCCGAAAAAAATATGACACGCGGGCGTCGCGACGCTGCGACACGAGGAAGCGTCGCGCGTCGAATGAAGCCGACGCTCGGCGTCACGACGCCACCTGTACAAACCTGCGTTTTCCACCGGCGGAAAGCCTATTATTATTTCGTGACGTTTTTGCGAAAGAGAATCCTCTTTGGTCGAATCGTACGACAAATAAATAAGAAATTAGAATTGATCAAGAATTCATGCCGGAGTTACTTTGACAGCCATTGCTGATTCCTTCCGGCAGAATTACATTCTTTTATCAGAAGTAGCACCACGTTTCGATCGACTCGACTGAAATGTACCGTGTGTTTATCTTCCCCCCCAGTTACGTCAATACGACTGTATGTCAATAACAATAACAATAAATTATGTCATAACAATGAGAGCATCTTCGCAAAATGAGAGTTTGACAAATTGAAATCCTTCGAAAATGCAACAACTTTCATCGTTGTCATCATTTTAGCAATCAATAAAGTATTGCATCTTTCTTAAATTAATAAATCAATAAAAGAAATAATGGATTTGGAGAGGGAGTTAAATATTTGTTTATATTTGAACGCGATGTTACAGACATGCTTTAGTCAAGTTCTACTCTTCACATAAATAAACCGCTAATCAAATAGAGTAATCCCATTAGATGATACACGCTGGCATTATTAAAATTGAGCAGCAAGGTCAAGAATATTTTCCTAATGGATGAGATATTTTTTTCACGGAAATACATGTGTTAGTATAACTAGTAATTATATTTAAATGAGTTACGCAAACACGTGAGCACTCTTACAATGTTTAATAATAATTGATATTGTAGTGCTTAATGTGATGAAATGATGCAGAAATTTCATTATAAAATGTGTTTTTTGTCGAGCGATATTGTTTGGAATAAAAATAACTTTAGTCGATTTCTTCGAAAGAAAATTTTCAAAGGATGACTTTTATCTTTCATTCATCAGCATTTTCGCGATAATCAGGATGACTGGAGAAATAGTTAGAAATTATCGAATTATTATATTTTGTCTTCCGTTTATTCGTTTTTATGTCTTACAATTTTCCATTCTTACTTATTTGTTCTCCCATCACGGTACTGCAATCGATGTTAATGGGTACAGTGCAATGACACATCGATCATACGCAGCTTATATCTCTGTGTCGCGTGAACTATTCAACTGATTTCACCTTTGCAGAAATATACAGTACATTGTGGCAAAGATAATTTAAAAATTGAAGCCCTTGTCAAACAGAATCAGTGTACTAACTTATATATTAATGTAACGAGTGCTTTTAGATTGAATTTATAACGATTGGACAAAAAGACACAGAAATATCGTAATAATAATGTACATAGTGTTTGTATAATTTAAAGATCTAAAAACTGCAATAATCTCACCTTTCTACTGTAATTTCACCAAGAATTGAGATGACATTGAAGTCGTCTTTATAATTTCGCACAACAACAAAAACGTTGCCTCGCGTATTACTTAATGAAAATTCACATTCTCTTTCCTTAATTCCGTTTAATTCGTCACTGTATCGAAAGTGCCTTCTTGGTTCATCGTATTACGTAAACCTTACTTTTTATTTCGAAACGGAGCAAAACACGTTCGAGAGGTATGAGTCGCTTCATAAGACTGACGATGTAGTTCTCCACGTGTCCTACTCACTCAAGTTCTATATTATTTACGAGAGATATAGCTGGAAAATGGCTTCGGTGCCATAATGCCGCCATGGAAATGACAATCAAACTTAATGATCGAAAATGGCCGAAAGTCGAACATTTAGTTCCGCTTTAGTTTAAAAGCCTGCGAAAAAACTTAATCTTGCGTAATATACTTTTATAAAATTCAAGATGTTACAAAAAAAAAAAAACGAAAGATATAATGATGAAACATTAAGCTCTAATTTACAATATAATGATAAGTATATAATATAACGTTACGTATCTTCATGATAACTTATTCTTAATGTGACATCAATTAAATATTGCTAAATAATTGATCCTGTACTTATATTTAAATTTACAATAAAAAAGTGATTAGCCTTATAATTATATTGCAGAGGATAAAAAGATGTTTCGTATCGTATGATTATGTGCGATATAATTGATTACGTAATAGACAGTTTATATAAGAAAACAGTACATTGTGTACGGATGATTTCAATTCCTTTTACTTATTAGAGTGTATTTACATGTGATTGAGTAAATTGTCAAGCGTTAGCAAATTCCGATCGTCATTGTGTAAAGGTGGGTCAGCTTTAAAAGGATGATTTAGTCATTCGGCAATCAGAACGATCATTGCCGCGGGATCGTCACGAGTCGCAGTTATTTAATTAAGAAATTTAAAATGTTTATATCATTTCTCGCATCTTTTCTGTTCTCCGTGATCCTTGCTGCTGGTAAGTAATTTGATTTTTTTCACGATTTAGCATATTGCAGTTAGTCGACTTTTGTTTTTTCAATTACTTAACTCCGCTTGATGATTATTAATTAACTTCAGACAGCAACTTGAATAGGACGGATTTGAAATGCGTTGGACATGCTTTTCATAACGTGTCTCTTTCCGCTTATTATCCCGTATTCGGGACGGACGATAAACGCAATCATCTAGACGATCGAGGAAAAATGTTGAATACTCTCCAGGTTCGTGATGACCATGACAGACGCAATGCGGCATCCGATGCAAAAATGTTTTGCCGGCCATTCTCTCTCCGCTATATTCAGATTTGTTTTAGGATTACCTTGATGGTCGCGTTCCTTACGTCACCGTCGCCGGTAATTTGAGATCTGGCATTCCGTATGGAACGAAAGTGTGCATAGAGAGATTGAACGAGCAATTCGGTAAACAAATTCATCTACAGGTGCGTAATCATATTATATTTGCTTATGATTGGTTCATAGTTTGTTTTTACATCTAAGATCGTTTTAAGCAAGCTTATATCATCTTGGTCATCTTGGTCATCTTGGTTGGAATCCTAAGATGATTTTAAATATAAAAACTAAATATTAATACTGCCCTATAATTTTAAAAATATTATAAGGCTCTGCGAATATTTTTATTTATGGTATTATGTTAAAACTAGAAAAAATTAAAATAATTTATTTTATTTCAGATAAGAGACCAAGTTGATTGCGAAAACAATGATATCGCACTTGATTTCTCAAAATTAGAAATTTGCGTCAGAACTGAGGAGGATACCTATGATACCTATCTCAACAACCTTGTTACTATCTATATATAATAATCACATAATAACAAATATGTATTTTGTCTCTTAATTAATCTTAAATATTAAATAAAAATTAAATTAATCTTTTATAATAATAAGAAGCGCTGACGTATGTAGAATTGAATTAAATCATATTTTGTTTATTGATAGTGTTTATTAATAACGTTTGTTTTATTTTTTAAATATTTATTAATTAGTTCAGCATAACAACATTAATATGAAAATAATGTTAGTGTGAAAATAACAATAATGAAAATTTCTACACTTACAAATACGCTGCGAAACACAATTCTCATAAATATTTATATAATTATTAATTGATTATAAAATCACAATTCACAATCGTTCTGAAAATGAACGATTTAGTTCTGACAAATAGTTCTGATAAAAAATATTTTTGTTACGCAGTAACAATGACTAAATAAAACATCATGTGTATATGTATATATATATATATATATATATATATATATATATGTATGTGCGCTTAATTTATTCTCTTTCTGACCAATGTGGCCATGATTTTATCATTGTATAAAGACTATCTCCGGGACATATGGTTGGCCAGGTTTGCCGATGTCCAAGAAGCTTGTAATCACTCTTTATTTCGCCATTTTGCACTCCTTGAGCGATCAAGTTAGCCACAGCTTGTACCGCCATTGCGTTTGGTGTTCGCTCTAGAGAAAAAATATTTTAGAAAAATACATATTACATATATAAGCGATAATAATAATAAATCTGTGTTATCTCTGATATTATTTACTTCTGTAATCCCCGATGATGCAAATTCCAATACTCTTTTTATTGAAAGGTATAGAATGAGCGCCTTGCTTGCCCCATCCGCGACCTTCGTAAACATTTCCGTCTTCTCCAACTAGGAAATTGTAGCCAATGTCAGACCATCCTTTCGTGTTCATATGCTCATTCTTGAAATAAAATTTAATTATGGTTTTATATAGATGTTATCAAATTTATTACTTATCAAGACATCAAAAATATATACAAAAACAGATCTATTCTATGATTACATTTAGCTTGACCTTAAATATTGCTTAATTGAATTATACACGATGGTTTGCATATGAAGATTTAAAAGTTAAAAAATTACCGTCTACTATATAGAAAAAAACTTTTATTTTTTTAATATAGATTACCTGGAATTGTCTCACTTTTAACTGACATAATGCTTGAGTCTCACAACCGGAGCCAGTCGAATGATGAATAAGTACATATGGTGCTGGTTTTAATTTAAGATTAGGAGCCCGAGATTTCGGTGCTCTGGCGCCCCATTCCGATCTAGAAATGATATTTGGGCTAGCTGAAAAAATTAAAATTAGAAATATATCATATAGATATACTCAAGAGAATATATATCGATTAAACTAATAGATTAAAAATAAATTTTTTTAAATTTAATCCACTTTATTGTATTTGCATTTATAAAAGTTGTGGTTTTAATAGATCTTTGAACATTTTACATAATTATTTTTTTCTAAAAGAAAGCAAAGATTTATGAGCTCATATGTTGCCAACATATGTGTTTTCTTTATATTTTACGTGAACAGAATACTTTATACGCTTGATATGATACGCTTGATATTGCTCAGACATGAGTTGGGTGATGATGTTTTCGATTCGATCAAGAATCGATCAAGAAGATGCTAAGAACGCCATTAAGATAGAAAGTTTATTTAATGTATAATTTTACAGTAACTTTGTACTTCAATTACTTGGAATTTACTACTTAGGATACAAAGTTACATTAATCGTTTTTGAAATTAACAATTAGAATTTTTCTATGCTTACGCAAGATATTCTTTAGAAAAAAAAAAACATCTTTCTATATGCAATTGCGAGAAATAATTCTTTAAAAATTTTGATGATCACAGAGGCAAAGTTCGTGGTTTGACTCACGACGAGAATAATATGTTTAATGAATTACTGGCAACAGTCTCCTGAACGATGAGCGTCACGTAGACCGTCGCGAAGATTAACGTCGTCCTCTTGGTGATGTACATTTTGACTTGCAAAACAATACTGATGCTACGTACGACTTGGCACACAATATATATATATAAGCACACACATTAAAGATATGCTCTCGAGGCTCACGATCTTTGACCGTATGGCCTACGATAGACGTGTACGTGTGTGCATACACATGCACATTTGAGATATTCTTTCAACTGGACTTCCCTGAGTTTCTAGTTAATCTGATGATTTACGGATAAGAAAATGAAGAATAAGCTAACGGGAACTTTAGCGTTAGTAACAGTATTCGCATGTCATCATGTTACTGAAATACGGAATGACGACAATATTTATGTAACATTAAATTTTATTATTAGCATTATATTTTTTAATAGCAACGACATTATTTTTTAGGTCAACGACAGACAATATTTAATTATTTGGTATAATTATATGTATAATTATTTAAACTGACACTTACAGATAGGAGGGATTTTGTAATATATATATTTATTTTATTATTTACAAATACTGTTATATACAAAACAACGCGATCACATAGGTATTTGAAATATATACGAATGATCGTAATTTAATCTTCTGTATTACTTAGTAGGAACAAAGGAATATTAACAAGCTAATCGCACATCAGCTGATCTATCATGTGATACATGCCAAATCAATATTGATAAACAGATGCCATCGTTTCGATTTGTTCGCGTTTTGATCGAAGCTTAGATTAGTGCAAACAGCGGAACGCATAACAGAATGCTCGGATTTTTATCTCCCCTGATCTCTCTGAACTTTATTCGAAAAATAATATATGGTAATAAAGTTGCGATTATGTTACATTACGTGTGATATCGATTGTCTTATCAATCAATTTTGCATATCCGGCAGAACGGTACTTTTTATGGGTATCCCCGAGATAATCCATTAATCTTCATGATTAATTAACAATTTTATATGCCTTTTTTCAGATTTATCCGGAGGCATTTAAATAGTTCATCGTTTTCTACGCTGATGAATTCGTCGTCGAATTGAAGAATATGATGAGAAGATCAGATTTTTTTAGATATACGTATATAATTTTTGCAATTTTCGAAAAATAGTTTCGATCGTAAGATTATACAGTTCTATTGTTAATACTTGCTAATGTTAATTTCTATGAAATTTGATCCTAATTGACACATATTATAGATACTATACCTAAAAAAATGTGAGTAATTTTAAGATCTGAGCAATCTATACAAAATTACAAAAATCAGAGACAATCATATGCGACACCGCGTGATACTTCACCAATGTCGTTAATTAAACTCGAAGACCGTGACCTTAAAGCATATATTGTTGTAACGAACATAGCCACGTAAAAGTACGACTTGCACGCGAAGCAAGCGTGACATTGATTTCATTTACCGAACTTGCATGAAAGATACTTATGTCACTAATATTTTATGTAGACTGGCTTATGATTTTTCACGACTTATTTAAAAAAAAAAAACGGTATATATCTTTGCGTTTTAATTAACGACATTGTCTGACATCTGTCTTAACTGTTAGATATAAATTAGTGCAAAGTGTCACTTTGTACGTCAGGGGAATTACCTTCGTGAAACAGAGAAAGTCATTTTTCTTTCATTTAAATAACTATTTACGCCAACTAGAACGTAATGATAATAGCAGAGGTAGCAACGGTCGTTCGATAGTATACTGAGAAGATTATTAAAAATACTAAATAATATTTAATTTTTCTAAATCTATCTAAATTTTCAAAACATAAATTAAACATTAAGTGACTTCATTTGATTCTCTTTATAAATAAAAAGTAAGGAAGATATTTGTATAGAATCGACATAAGATACTATAAATACTATTTGCAATAAAAATAAAGTAGTTTTGCATTACTCACAATTCTTATGTCTTATCATGAGTCTTATGTTAAATCTGCGATCTACGTTTAAGATTCATTTTGGTCCACTTAATAATGACCTAAAAGTCATCATAGAGTGGCGCTTGATTTGCTATCTTCCTCACTGTTATCACCCTGCATCATCGGTTTTCTCGTGGTGGTAGTCGAACGAATCTCTGGTATCGGATTTGCAGTCCAACCGGGAAGAGTTTTTACATACTTGTAAAAACTCTCGCCGGGGCACTCCGTATTCCGTGCCTGTCGATGACCAATCACGTTGTACTTGTCTCTTATCTTGCCGAGTGAAACCCCGCAAGCTATCAATTCGTTCAGCGACTTCAGGGCGGCCTCATTGGGAAGAAAGTCTGTGAAATCATACATTTACATGCGTCACAATGAATTTTCTGACGTAAAAGTAAAATCTTTCTTTTGCGACATGACACTTTAAGGAAAATACTTCGCTCTACACAAAAGATGAATTTTTCTAATAAAACCAAGCATTTTTTAGCACACCTAAATAACAATTTATCCTTAATTTATGTAATTTAATATTTTTTATTTATTTAAAAATTGGACTTTTTTACTCCTTTACGATTTTCTAAAAATTATCAATTTTTTTCTCGAAATCTTGTTTAGTCTATGTCTTCGATGATATATTAATCATGTTTAATATCTTAATTACCGCTGAAGTGTCCTATGACGCATATCCCAATGCTTTGGTTGTTATATCCAGGGGCGTGAGCGCCTGTGAAATCCCAGCCACGACCCTCATAAACATTACCGTCTTCGCCAATAAGAAAACTATAGCCGATGTCCCACCAGCCCCGATCGTCCATGTGAAAATTCTGGTACGACCTGACGATTGCGGAGCATGTCTCCTGATCTCGACAATAATTACGTATACCGCCATGATGGACCACCACGTATGGCACTGGTAACTCAGGCTTGATCTCGAAATTGAGACGCTCCCTGGCTTTCCATTCTTTTCGACTGACAATCCTCGGACACTCTTAAAAACCAGAAATCCATCGATATTATTCCGCACAAATTACTTTTGAATTAAGTTACTTCTTCAAAGGCTAAATGTTCTTAAAAGACCGATGTCATTAAACTACAAGAAGATTAATGTATAAATTATGTAAACTAATTGCTAACTTAATACTTTATAAAATTGTGATAATGAAAATAATATGATGTATAAAAAAATAGTATGATTACGATTTTTCTGTATAGTCGCGCAGAATGTAAAACTTGACGATATACACTTAATATACACTGGCATATAAATTGGAATCAGCTAACTGGAGTTGGCGAGCGCAATTTTTAACAATTAGTTACGTAATTGCAAATATGTTTTTATCGCGCCGAAATTATTTTGTCCTTGAGATACGATAGTAAATTGCCCGGTCGGATACCCAAGTCGTGAAATAATTTCGGCTCAAACAGAATTTTTAGTATTAAAATTTTCCTGCACAGAAGGAAAATTCTGATAGGAAAAATACTGGTTGACCAATTATCGAAGCACATTTGTCACGAGGAGGATATTGTTTGTTGTTACTATTATATCACACGTTTTACTTCGAACAGTCTTATTTTCTTTCGTTCAATTTTTCTTCGCACAGATCAATTTATCAATATGATATATTTAACGGGGCAAATTTACGTAATATTTAATTTTATAATGCAGTAGATTTCAAAAAGAAATTGGTTCTCACGCACACGCGATTCCCTTTCATAGAATATTGTACGAGTTTAATTTTAGCATAGCTAATTACTAATATCCGTGCATAATTTTTTTAAAGTCGTATAAATTGTAAAGCCGATATCGTATTTCATTAGTATACTATTTTTAAGCCACTGATCCATATTAATCTCGTATTAAATATCAGAAAACGCGCACGTCAATAACTTCACAGTATCACAAATGTTTAGCAAAAGTTGCGTAGTTGTGAGTCGCGCATTTATTATACTTATCATATCTAAACATGAACTTCGTTGTAACGATTAAACACTTTAATTTACATGCAGATGACTCAAGCTAGTCAAGTATATGCCAATGAGAATACAAAAGATTACAAATCCTCTTTGAACTCATCGAGTAAGAATTATGTAAATATTAATTTGAAGAGAGTTTATATATTTGATATCTATTATATATACTATTTGCATAAAAAATATACATCAAAAATATAAATGCAACAAGTTTACTAGACTACGAATAAGTGTGACATTTTTTCGTTTCGAAAGATTCGGATTATAATCAAGAAGGAAAAACTTGATATAATAAAAATTGTAAAAATAAAAAATAATAATTAAAAAAATCGATATTTATTTATTGAAAGTAATATGAAAGAATTGTTTTTTAAACTTGTCATGCATATCATAAGTCTTCTTGAAACATCAACCGCGCAATATTGTTATTTTTTGCAATATTGTAAATAATGTTACGCAATTTTCTTTTATGAGAAAAAATTAATTCTGAGATCATTTTTCACGACATGATTTTTTATGTGAAGTTTATGATTACCGAATGGCTTACCGGTTGCTTTGATGAAATTCGCGTTGTCAATGGGAATGGCGAGCACCGCATGCTCGAAGAGATCGAGGAAGAGTACAAAGGTGCACAATAATTGAATGAGATAGGAGGATGACCACATGGTGATTGACATCGTTACAGCGCGTGTCAAAAGTAAAACTGAATAGCCATCATGTTGCTGCGTCCGCTTTTAAACGAAAAACCGAACGGTAACCGGGAAGTCCCTCGGAGAAATCGTGCGTCGAGAACCAACCCGTTTGGTAGTCCCTTAACCCCCTTAACTCTCCGCCCCCTCTTCGGCGCATTCGTCGACAATGACACCATTTCTACGAGAAGGAGCGGCACTCGTTGAGTGTCACGCTGGTTGTCCGAAAATTCGCACGAAGTCCGCATCGACTCTGATTGCGATCGAAACACGGAAACATCGCTGTCCGCGCGATAAGGTGTCGAGCGTGATAGGTTGAGATTGATGAGGATTGGCTGTAAACTAAATAAGAAGTGACTGTGTGACGATGCTGCGAGAGGAAAAATTATACTATCAAATCATCATGAAGATTATCATAAAAAGATGGCACAAAGAATAGAGAGTCTATACTACGTATTAAAATAATAATAAATAATATGTATATATATATATATATATATATATGGTGTGTATGTGTGTGTGTGTGTGTGTGTGTGTGTGTGTGTGTGTGTGTGTGTGTGTGTGATTAATGTACTTGTGTGCACATACACTGAGAAAGAATACTTAAAAATTTATTTATAGGAAATAAAAAGTTTATTTAAATATGAGGAAATAAAATTTTAATCATATAAAACAAATAAATCTTACAATTAGTAAAAAGAATTAAATATATGTATTTTTGGAAATATATATTTCATCATTAGTCAAATGTTTTATAATTAATAAATGTCAAAGAAAATGTCATAACTAACATTTGCTTCTGAATATTTCGACTTATTTCAGTGTACTTTCTTCAATCGATTCTATTTATTACTATTATTCTATTTTCTCTCTTATTAATGTGGTTCAATATGACCTTTCTCTAAACGAGTTAGTTACAGCGAACTTGATTTGCACGATCTTATCGAACTGTATCGTGAATTTTCGATAAGTAACGGTATCTAGAAGTTATGTAACCTAATCAATATCACGACGATTATACAGAACACATAAAATTCTACTTGTCGAATTGGCTTTTCAGCTACTTTTTCATTTGGTTGCTCGCTTCGATCAGCGATCAAGATTTTTTGATAAACAATATTAGTACGCAGTTTGTTAAAATATTCACATATTTTTATATGCGAATAATATTGGTTATTATCATGCGCGTTTGGATATCTAATCCGTAATATCTAGACAGATAATAACATATTTATCTTTTGATGAGACTGCATTGAACGATGAAATTTACATAGAATCACGAACTATTTCGGATAAATACTAATCTGATGAGTAATTTATTATTAAAAAAAATATAAATCATAAATATTATAAAATATATTTATAATATTACTCTTTTACGGAAATGAAATCGTCGCTGCAATAATGGGAAGCAAATTGAAACAGATGAAGATATTATTTTGCATTCCAAGTGACAGTCATTTCATCAAACTACAGTGGACGAAATATGTGTCAACTAATGTGCGAATTTATGTTTTGTTTTTGCTTGAAGTAAGTGTCACACATAACGAGAGGACTCATTTGTGTTCGCAGTACGATTTAGAGATAACGGCTTATTCATGAAAGGCATCGAATGACGAGAGAATGCTTTTGTTTACTCGTATATTACGCTGTCATACTTGTCGATTAATTGTTTCCTGCAATCGTTTGTCATCGACATTATTCTCATGAACACTTGAATTCTTTCGATAAAGAAATACTTAAAAAGTTGAAAAACTGATTTCGCTCTCTCTTCCTTTATCAATGACTAAGGGTACATTAATAAACTTATTAAGTATTAAACGGGACAGATTTTGCTGCAAAATTCATGTCGAGATACATAAATACCAAATGGAATGCGGAATAATTACTTCAAATAGATTGAGATAGACAAGGTGATATAACGCGATCATTCAAGAAAAAAAAAAGAGAGGAAAAAAACGGAATAAAAAAATTATTATCTCAAATAATCATAATAAAATCGCTAGTCATTGACGTAGCTGCAGACAATAACGGCGCTATTAAAATAAAGTGAATTAACGAGCGATTCAAAAAATCCGCAAAAGAAATGATTATCACTAGCTAATTACGTGAAATCATTATGGGAAAGTGTTACGATCGATTTTGATCATTACTCATACGATAAGATAGCGATAATTCATGTAACATAAAATGAAAAGTCATGCAAGTCATACTACATTTGAAACATTACTGTAATAACCGTAGACAATTTTTATTGTTATATAAAAGTGAAACGAATGGACATTTTATAATAATTTAACGCAGCTGAATAAAAAAATCCCCTACTTTGAAAAATTTTTTATTTCTTTCTGTTTAAAATAAAATTATAAACAATATAATTATAAAACTTTTTATAGAAAATCAATATCAAATTATTGGAAGCAATATCAACAATTAGATTCTCGTGAAAAAACAATATCGGTTAATATTTATTCTAAAAATTATCGGATTATTGAACACGATAAGCATTACTAGAGAATTTTATCATATACTATATCATTGCAAGAAAATAAAGGAATATTATTTTGTTTTTTTCTCTTTCTTCCATTTTCGTGGAACTAACTTGACGCAACATGTCTTAAATGCTTTATTGCAAATGCTTTATTGCAACAAAATAAATCTCTTGTGATTAAAAGATAGATAAATACAATTAAAATATTTTACAGCAATAATTAAAATTGTACACATTTTAAATGTTTTCTCTGGATCCTCTTTAAAAATCAAGTTTAATTTGTTTAAATGTATTATAAGATTTATGTTGTAAAATAGAATAACATTTTCAATATTTTCGTGACATGTTATACATTTTATAATCTTTTAAATTAAAATTTGATAAGCGTTGGTTTAACAATTACAAACATTATCAGAATTGACGCTTCTAGTATGTACAATTATACCAAAACACAAATTATGACATTTGTGAAATACCAACAGAAAAAATGCTAAAGAAAATTAAAAACAATTAAATTCAAAGAAATAAAACTCGGAAAGAGCCAAAGAAAGAAAAGCCAAAGAAAAAACAGACAATAAATTCATTACTAATTTATAACTTGGCTGTTGGTTCTGAAGATTAGGTTATTAAAGAAGAAGAAAACAAATATCATCATAACTACAATTAGTTTAATCATAAATTCAAAAACCTTTGAAATATCTTTGAACTTCAACTCATCATGTTCGTCTTAATAGAAAGTCATTGCTGGCAAAAAGTTACAAATTATTAATTGCAGAAAATAAAAAGCCAAATAATAGATATTTATCGTGTATATACACGAAATAATATCTCTATTGAAAATAACCATGTTAGGACAAAAATTTAAAAAATAATTTTTTCTTGGAATATATGTATTCTCGAAATATATTCAGAAATATAGTCATCGCAAATATTATCGCAAATATAGTTATTTACAAGTTATTGTAAGTTTAATGTAAGTTATTGTAAGTTATTGTATTATTATATACCTTAGAAGTTTGAATTGAAATGTAATACATTATACAATAATTCGATATGGAGTCAATTGTATAGTCAATTGTATAGTCAATTGTTGGAGTCAATTGTATAGTCAATTGTTTACTTATACAAACACTGTCTAGAATTAATAATTTTTAATTATAGAATTAATAATTATTCATTGAAAATAACAAAAAAAAAGCAATCTTTGAAACAATGATACATCATAATATTCACATCCTCACTTAAGTCCTGTTTACATCTGAAATCAATATACTTTCGACAATTCGATAAGTTATTTAAATAAAAACTGTTATTAAGAAATTATTTTTTAGTATACAATTCTATATGTATATTTAATAATTATTATTATTATTGTATTAACATTATTATTATTGTATAAATAAATTTTCTTGTAACCTTAAAAGCCTTAAAAGCCTTATACCTGAAAAATCAATCATTTGTGGGAAAAGATACGAGCAAAATATAAGTTTATTTACAATTCCATGTGATTCTTTTTTACTGTAAAATTTATATTTCTTAGCTTTTACAAGAAAAAATGTAGTCAATAGGTAAAAATAAAATTATCGTATTATATGAAACAAACTTATCGAACATTTGCTGTATAATGAATACAATA